TTACCGATTACTGCTAATTAGTTTATTAAAAATAAAGTTGAATATAAATAAATAAATTGATAGAGAGAGTATAATTTGGTTTTGATTGGTTGAACCAACTCAGTTATATATATGATTTTACTATTTGGCCTCGTACACACTATATTATAAGAGTAAGACAAACATGTGGTCACAAACATAAACATGCAAGTCAAGTCATTGACAATGCAACCTGGAAACACCAAACGCGTCAGTTCATCGTTTTCCTTTAAAAAATGCTACAAACTATGGGTATATATCTATTAGGATAATGATACTTTCGATAATATCTTCTTTATAATATTTTGATATTATTTAATATGTTTAAAATTATTTTACAATCAATATAATCATAAAAAATATATAAAACAATCAGAAAATAACATATAAATGATGTTAAAATATTGTTAAAAAAATATTATCGGACTATCGTTATCCTATCTCGTCATCTCTATATTTCTTCAAACTTTTATTTTTTTTTTCTTTAGCCAGCGTATAATACTTCAATAATATATGCAACCAATAGTGTATGATCAGTTGCTTTACGCAGTGTTCGTTTTGGGATAATATACTATATTTTAACTCACGAATCTGTGGTTTAATTTACGTTTGTTTTTTTGAATTTTGAAGAGATGACTGACGATGAGATGTGGGGTGTAAAACTTTTTCATTCTTAGCTGAGTGTAGAAGGACAATATCGTGAAAGTGTTATTAATTTAGTCATATTATCATTTAATCTTATGATTCTGAATCGTGCTAATTTAGTTTAACTCATTTCTATTTCAGTTAGTTTTATATTGAAAAAAATGGCTAATTTAGTGCTCTTGAATCTCCTTTCCCAAATAATTATAATAATTATTATTATTATTTTATTATTATCATTAAGCTAATTATTAATTGAATACTTAATTACTCTAATTCGAAAATAATTTTGAGAGAGCTCAAATTAAAATTTTCAACATAATATGCTAAATAAAAACATAAAAAAATTATTCTTATCTCTTATAATTCTAATAGTTATATTTGATATATTTAATATTTACATATTTACATATTTTTTAGTGACTATTAAACACCCTTGTTAAATGTAGAATATTTGTCTAATAAACTCATTCTTAGACAAACTATACGATATATATAGCTTTCAATGTTATAATGAATCTATCAATCACAGCTTCATTTAGTTTAGATGAGAATGTTGTGTTGGAAATCCATCCTTACTTAATTAAGGGATGTAATTGGAAATTAATAAAAGATTTATTGTAAAGTTTTAATAAATTGTGAGTTATTCTATTCTCTTATCCTCTTTAGGAAGATGAATATACTAAGTGGGAGCTAGCAATGAAAAATGAAGTTGTTAAAGACTTACATCACACGGTGCTTGGAGATAGAAAATATTCTACATCTTATTTGAAAAGAAGATGACTTTTATAAGCCTTTACATGGAACACTTGAAAACTAAATGAATACAAAATAGATCACACACAACTAAAAAATAGCTGATTGAGAGACTAGTTCAAAATGAGAAAATAATTAAAAAAATGCATAAATAAGCTAATAATCTCTCCATTAAGCTCTAGCTTACTGTAATGTCAACTATGTCAGGCATTTGTCAAAGCTTCTCAAACTGTTCAAGTTTCACAACTTTGGTCATTATATATGAGCCACTTGTTTATGAGTATTATATTTCAATTGAATCACGTGATCAAGTACCATATTTCTAAGAAAGTAAAACCTCACTGCAATGTATTTACTACCTCCATTAAAGACAAAATTTTTGGACAATTTAATAGTAGAATTGTTTTCACATAAATTTGTGGTTGTTTCATTTTTTTCAACTCCAAAATGTTCTAAAATTTTGTGAAGCCAAATGCATGGTGGGTTAAATGGGTTAGTGGATTAAATGGGTTGGTGAATTAAATGGGTTGGTGAATTAAATGGATTGGTGAATTAAATGGATTGGTACACAGACTAATTTAATTATAAGTTTTTCTTAAAATAAAAAAAAGTTACAATTTTCTAATTCAAATTTAAATAAATTTCATACTAAAATGATGTTAAACTCCAAGATAATTCAAAATAAAAAAAAATATCATACAATCCAAGCATAATCCAAAAATATATACAAAAGGTGAACAAATAAGTTTTTAATATTAATAATTTTTGTATCACTTGTCCATTTATTAGAGTTTTGAATAGATAAATTTATAATATTTTTTTCTCTTAAAACATCTTCTATATCACCATCTATAATATAATAAAAAATACTAACTAACAATATTGAAACACAAAATAATAAATAATTTAATTAAATTAGGTGGGTTGGTAACCCAACTCACCACGTCATTTTGACAGCACTATATTTTTGTAAGAACAAGGCAAATATTAACCCCTTCGAACCAACTAACGTAGATTTAGAACTTAAAACTATCCTTTTACGATAATCCATTGTGAGAACGAAGCCTTATTTTCTTCCCTTTACTTTCAACCACCACTTGCAAACAAAAAAAAATTGTATGAAACAGATATTAGGAGTGAATTGCATGAAGCCAATTCAAGTTTACATCAAGTTGAGGAACATCTATCTTCAGATTTGGAAGCATAGGTTTGAAAGCTTCCCATTGAAAAGCTGTCTCTTCATCGCATACCACCTCCTTTAAATTCTTAAGATTGATGATTGAGGATGGAAGTTCACACCTTTCACAACTTGTCATGTAGAGAATTCTTAGATTACATAGATTACCAAATTCCTCTGGTAAATTAGGAAGGTTTATGCAGTTTGAGATGTCCATATGCCGTAGATTTGAAAGCCTTCCAACAGAATTTGGTATCACTTGCAAATCGGTACATGAGCTTAGTCTCAAAAGTTTCAGATTCTCCAAGTTTCCAATTTCTTGAGGCAATGCAGAAAGCTTATGGCAGTTACTGATGCTGAGCATATTTAAGGAGGTGATATTACACAGTCCCTTAGGCAGTCCAACCATATCTTTGCTATACTCAATATTCAAGTCCTCTAGATTTGGAAAAGCGTCTGAAATTAGAATGTTACTGTTTTCGAAAGCCTCGCGTGTATCACACAAGTAGAGGGATAACTTTTTAAGATTCTTCAATGAGAAAAAGGAAGGAATCGAAATCCTCTCTAGTCTCAATCTTTTTAGGACTGATAATGTGCCAAGTAGATAAAAATCGAACAATTCACACGGATGGAAACCATAATTCATGACTATCAGAACTTTTAGATTGCTCATTTCTTTCAGGTACTTTGGAAAGGAGTACTGATTAGTTCGAATGTTTAAGATCAGAACCTCAGCTTGAGCTGGTCGTAGGTGCGACCAATATGAAGTCCAAGTTTCATCTGCAAAAGCAACTCATGGTGTCAACAGTAAAACAGAAACAAATGATAGATCATAGTGACTTTCTCTTTAGCAACTTTACTTTCTAAATGTAATGTCTATACTTTAGTGAAAGGCATTACTAACCAGATGATATAGACAATGTTCCGGAAGGAATCTTTTGGGTTTTCTGTTCATCACACCATTTAAAATTATTTGACAATGTGCGGATCATAATGCCTTGCTGCTTCTCTCGAAGACACACTTCAGTTTTAGTTTCATTCATGCCAATCATCAGTCTTTTTCTCAGTTCAATTTGAGCCTTGNGACAAAATTTTTGGACAATTTAATAGTAGAATTGTTTTCACATAAATTTGTGGTTGTTTCATTTTTTTCAACTCCAAAATGTTCTAAAATTTTGTTAAGGCAAATGCATTGACAAACACTTGAAGCTATATATTTTGTTTGTGTAGTGGATAGACTAACTAGTGATTGCTTTCTCGAAGCCCATTTTACTACACAAACAACCCTTAAAGTTGGAAAAATATACGGAAATAAAAATACTTACTAATGTAGTTGTATACGTAAGTATACACATTATATGCTAAATCATATATTAAATTCTTGTGTTAAATGTAAAGATAAGATGGTTGAAATTAGTTTTTCTTCATAATTAACAAATGAAAGAATCAAATGATATTTAAGACCAACTCCTTTCCCTGTTTTTCCTTGGACATGTTTTGTAGGATTTTTGTAGAGTTGTCAAAACAGGTAACCCGACTCAACCTGACCCGATCCACTACGCGTTGGTCATTTAGTGAACCAACCTAACCCGACTCACTTATTTGCAAGATAAAATGGATTGGTGGGTTAAATGGGTTAGTGGATTAAATGGGTTGGTGAATTAAATGGGTTGGTACACTGACTCATTTAATTATAAGTTTTTCTTAAAATAAAAAAAAATTACAATTTTCTAATTCAAATTTAAATAAATTTCATACTAAAATGATGTTAAACTCCAAGATAATTCAAAATAAAAAAAAAAGTATCATACAATCCAAACATAATCCAAAAATATATACAAAAGGTGAACAAATAAGTTTTTAATATTAATAGTTTTTGTATCACTTGTCCATTTATAATATTAGAGTTTTGAATAGATAAATTTATAATATTTTTTTCTCTTAAAACATCTTCTATATCATCATCTATAATATAATAAAAAATGCTAACTAACAATATTGAAACACAAAATAATAAATAATTTAATTAAATTATGTGAGTTTGTGAGCCAACCCAATTCACCACGTGGCTCGCGAGTTACAATTCATTTTGTCAGCACTAGATTTTTGTAAGAACAAGGCAAATATTAGCCCCTTTGAACCAACTAACGTAGATTTAGAACTTAAAACTATCCTTTTACGATAATCCATTGTGAGAGCGAAGCCTTATTTTCTTCCCTTTACTTTCAACCACCACTTGCAAACAAAAAAAAAAATTGTATGAAACAGATATTAGGAGTGAATTGCATGAAGCCAATTCAAGTTTACATCAAGTTGAGGAACATCTATCTTCAGATTTGGAAGCATAGGTTTGAAAGCTTCCCATTGAAAAGCTGTCTCTTCATCGCATACCACCTCCTTTAAATTCTTAAGATTGATGATTGAGGATGGCAGTTCACACCTTTCACAACTTGTCATGTAGAGAATTCTTAGATTACATAGATTACCAAATTCCTCTGGTAAATTAGGAAGGTTTATGCAGTTTGAGATGTCCATATGCCGTAGATTTGAAAGCCTTCCAACAGAATTTGGTATCACTTGCAAATCGGTACATGAGCTTAGTCTCAAAAGTTTCAGATTCTCCAAGTTTCCAATTTCTTGAGGCAATGCAGAAAGCTTATGGCAGTTACTGATGCTGAGCATATTTAAGGAGGTGATATTACACAGTCCCTTAGGCAGTCCAACCATATCTTTGCTATACTCAATATTCAAGTCCTCTAGATTTGGAAAAGCGTCTGAAATTAGAATGTTACTGTTTTCGAAAGCCTCGCGTGTATCACACAAGTAGAGGGATAACTTTTTAAGATTCTTCAATGAGATAAAGGAAGGAATCGAAATCCTCTCTAGTCTCAATCTTTTTAGGACTGATAATGTGCCAAGTAGCTTAAAATCGAACAATTCACACGGATGGAAACCATAATTCATGACTATCAGAACTTTTAGTTTGCTCATTTCTTTCAGGTACTTTGGAAAGGAGTACTGATTAGTTCGAATGTTTAAGATCAGAACCTCAGCTTGAGCTGGTCGTAGGTGCGACCAATATGAAGTCCAAGTTTCATCTGCAAAAGCAACTCATGGTGTCAACAGTAAAACAGAAACAAATGATAGATCATAGTGACTTTCTCTTTAGCAACTTTACTTTCTAAATGTAATGTCTATACTTTAGTGAAAGGCATTACTAACCAGATGATATAGACAATGTTCCGGAAGGAATCTCTTGGGTTTTCTGTTCATCACACCATCTAAAATTATTTGACAATGTGCGGATCATAATGCCTTGCTGCTTCTCTCAAAGACACACTTCAGATTTAGTTTCATTAATGCCAATCATCAGTCTTTTTCTCAGTTCAATTTGAGCCTTGTTGCTTTGATAAATTGCCAAGTCTCTTAGAATATCATGAAGGACAATGAAATGGTTGTTATAGTAATAACTGTCCGTGTCACTTAAATTTTTCCTGATCAATTAGCAGAACATAATTACATTATAAGAATCCATGCTCTCTATAAATTACATAATGCAAGTTTAATTTCTCAAGTTAACAAGGTAACTATGGAACAATTTATAAGGTATTAAATATTCCTCTCATGTGCTGTAGAGTATGTTAGGATGAAGCAGTGGAGAAGAAATATAAGAAGTCATTGTGCAGTACCTTGTTACAGTGACATTTGCTAAATTCATGGAATACAATCTGTTGACTATGGCAATTGCTTTGAGGCCATAATTATCTAGTCCATACAACTCAACCCACATATCAACAAGAGCAGCAACAGGAATTCTTTGGTGTTCAGGAAATAAAGCTAAGTCCATGAAGCACTCTTTGATGATGGGATTATCTTCCAATACATCCAAGATCTTTTGGAGGGAACTAAGTAATTCAGTGTTGGAATCAAGTATACAATGACCTTCTGACAACTCCCCCACCATCTTTTGCCACAACTCAATAGACTGATGACTCAGTGATCTTCCAATCACTGTAATGGCAAGCGGTAAACCCTTGCAATGTCTCACAACCTGCATTTCCAGGGAAAGTAAATTTAGTTTCCTATGACTCCGGCACCCAAGCATTACATATTGCACTTTCTGGGTGTCAAAATATGTTATTTTTTGTTTCAAAAAAAATATAGTAATTTTAGCTTAACAAGTATGGATTACTTGTATAATGTCAGTGTTGGATTCGAGTGTGAAACAGATAAACAAAAAACCCAAAAAAGAAAGAAGAGAAAACACAGAGAGAAATGATCTGAATATTTCGAGATTGAATCATTTAGAAAACAAAGACAGACTATAATGTATAGCCAATCCAAGCGACAAAAATAAAACTGAACGACCATAAGCAGTAGAGGCCGAACATAGGCCGAGTACAGCAAAGACCAGACAGTACAATTAAGAACAGAAAACCGAACGTACATAGTCGAACGTTCACAAGAGAACGGTTCGACCACAAACGACCAGAAAAAAGCCGAACAATTATCAACAAAAAAACTGAAAGAACAAAAGTAATAGAAAAATCTAACTAACAGTGAGAAAGAAGGAAGAAGCACCTTTTGGACAAGATCTTCGTCAGGAATATTTGAACTTGCTCTTTTCAAGAAAGCATGGTGTCGGAAAAGGGTTATTGCATCTTCAGGAACAAGAGGTTTCAGGACGAGTGAAGTTCCAAATGTAGGAAATGCAATCCTTGAAGTCACCAAAATTTTATAATCTGATATCTGAAATTTAAGTTTCTCAACAACGGCTTCTGAGCAAGACCAAACATCATCCAGGACTAACAACATTGGATTTGCATTAATTTTCCTCAGCAAAAGTACCAATTGATCAATTGCATCTCCATCGCTTTGAAGCTCTGGCACTTGATATCCAAAGCGTTCCAATAATCTTTCTACAATAATTTTCAGCTGGGGCGCTTTTGAGAAGGTGACAAATAAAATATTTTCCTTGAATTTACCTGGATAAAACCAAAGACTCATTTAAGAAGAAGTGTATAAGAAGAAGTTATTATGGTTGAATATTTGTTATAGTGGAGAATAAAAAATGAACCTACCTATGACTTGTTCATCCCAACAGAGCATTGTGGCCAGAGTGGTTTTCCCCGATCCTCCCAAACCGGTCAACACAATTACGGACGCACCTTCACTCAGAACATTCAGTTTCAACTTCTTCAATGGTACATCCAAACCAACACTAAATTCTGGCTTTTCAGGAATTCCAAATGGACGCTTCATTTGTTGTGCTGTCTCTTCCATGAACAAACCAACTTTTCGAGTCCTTTCTATAAACAAGGATCAAGTAGTGAGAATTAAGGAGAGAAACTCAACTTTGCCGCATAAGTTTTTTTTTTTTTCATTATAATAAGAGAAAACATTGTATTCCAAACCCATGCCACGGGAAAGGCATAGTTTTTTCGTGTTAGCTTATTCCATTCATTTGCTAAAAGTATGTTGTATATTATTAACAAGAGAGCTGGTTAGGAAGAACTGGAAAACTCAATATTTGAACCCTATATGAAAAAAACTTATAGTAGTAATAAAATGCGACAGTAAACGATACCTTAATTGAAATATGCTTTCTATGAATATGTTTTTCTGTTTGTCAACGGGGGCTGCAAACCTACGAGGAAAGTCAAATTTTGGAATGTTTTGTGAAAGAAGTTCTTGTGTATGGTGAACTGCAGTTGAAAGGTTGGTTTGAATCGTAAGGCAGACATATTTATAGCGTGCATGTCGTGTTCGTTCAATTGTCTTGATCTAACACGTAGTTGCGTGTTTTACTTTTTCTTTGCCTCCACGATAAAGATGAAATATAGTAATAAGAAAAGACGAAAGACCTTTCATTTTAAGCAAATGCAAAAACTTTAATTATTTTACGTGTATTTTTTAATATCATGGCTTTAAAAACTTGTTCAAATGCATTTCTTGTTTTACAAGAATGAAATTCATAGTATAATATTACTTTGCTTTAGCTTAGTCATGAAAAAGAGGTAAATATTGACAAGATAGGTTTCTCATTTAAGGTTTAATTACTGATTGAAATGAAATAACCTCCGTTGGTCTCAGAATTTGTTTCGGTAACTACGTCGTGATTTGGTGGTAATTTATTCCAACCGAGTGAACGTGTTTGTGCCCTATTCATCGTAGTTTCTTTCTCTCTCAATATTTGACGGTTGACCACTGATTCAAACAAAAATGTTATGGGTCGAAGTACGTCGATTCGCCGCGATTATTTAAAAGAATCACTTTTTAATTTAATAATTAAAAATTACACCAAAAATAATATAGGAAATGAGAAGTATTTTTTATATTTGTTTTAATCATTTTGTACGTTTTTATCCAGAATCGTCTCAAATAGGTTTTCGTATTTTTTTATCTCAATTAGGTCCTATTTCTGTAAAATTGAGTTAATTGAAATCTTACCGTTAATTTCAGTGGACGGCGTAAAATTTATTGAGTCATGGCATGCTGACCAAGCAAATTTTAATGATATGGCACACTGAGATCGCATTAGATAGAATTTAATTATGCATTAGGTGAAATTTAAAACATTGTCTTCTTCCTTGGGTGTCCTCTTCCTATTAAGGTTTTCGAAGTTGCAATGATTTCACACAGATCATTCAAAAGTATTTTATCTTTTCTGTATTTCTCTTAGCCATCAAATACCGCAAAGACTGAGATTAGTCAATCAGCTACCACAATCAGTGCCTCAAATTCGTTCATCCAATACTATTTTTGAAAACAATAAGCAAAAATGGCCTAAATGTTTAAACTTTTAAATTAATACAACTTAAGGGGTTAATACATTCCAGAATCTTCAAATCTTAACCAGTAAATCATCATTGTTGGGTAATCCGGTTACCTTGGAAAGTCCATCCCAAAGAATTGAGAAGCTTAACCAGATAGAGAAAACTAGAATTAAAATATCCCCAAACTAAAAAAGAATACACCTTTTAGGATCATCGTTGCGAACGCTGAGTCGAATATTTTAGTAGCCGAGAAGGAAGGCGTGGTTGCAGAATTGCTGAAGTCGGCGGCGCCTTAGTCGAGAACGCGCTGGCGAGCTTGATCGCGATTTCGGCATCGAAGCGGAACAAACTGAAGCTGGTGAATCTCAGTGCGATGAGGGCATTGTCGAGGCTGTTAGCGGAGGCGGAGCTGGGAGCAGCGATGATGGAGAAGGTGCTGAAGTTGGTGGAGGCGGTGTCTTCGACGAGGGAGATGTAGAAGGAGACATGCGAGGACACGACGTGCGTGACAACAGTGTTGAGGAAGGTTCTGAAGTTGTGTGGCGACGGAGCATGTTGTTAGAATAAATTAGGTTTAATTAGGTTCTGAAGGTTTAATTATTTAAAACTTGAAATAAAATAAATTTCACCTAAGGCGACCACGTGCCACGTCATTAACAAAATTTAAACTGAAAATAGGTGAGATTTAGACTCAATTCCTGAGTTCATAACTTTAAGTCGACTTTTGGATGTTTAATATCCATCTTTGAGTATCGGGTCTGAGTCTCAAACAACTGAGACATTTACAACCTTCCAACCTTTTTAGTCTTCCGTTTTTTAGACGAAAGGTTGTCATAACCCTTCTACCATCTTTTAGTATAGATTGAGCTTCGGATGATAACGGTACACCACCCCTCAATCTTGAATACTTTCTTGTCAAACTTTTTCACTTGTTTTATTTTAACTAATCCATTCGTCTTGTTAGTGCTTAAATTTGGTGTTATCTCTTTGCACGTAACCACTTAGTTTTCACTTTATTCTTCTTTAGGTAAATTTCTTCTTTTTTTGTTATATATGACATCCATCTCTAGCTGCCTAATAATTTGTGACATAATTTACTTTACCTGCAAAATAAATAACTTTTTGGTTTTGTTTCAGTTGACCAATAACAACTCCTAGTCGTGTTGAGTTTGCTTTAAATGGGTGTTTCTTCCCTAGTCGAGCTTGGGATTTCTTTTGCCTTGTGTTTTTAGATTGATATTTCATGACCCCTTAGTGACAAGAAAAACAAACAAATGACAAGTATATATAAATGACAAGTTTATAACTCGGGATCAACAACCTTCATGAGCCCTAAGTGTTGGGAAAATCTCACAATACACACACTCAAATATTTTCCTAAAATTGAGACTTATTAATCATTATAATTGAAGGGCTTTAAATAGCCATAACACTTACAATATTACGAGAAATAAAAATAAAATATCAACTATCTTAAAAATAAAATCTCCTTAATCTATAATAAAATAATATTGTACCTAGATAAATCGAAAATCATAACTACGTGTCCCTATTTTATCTCTATCAAATCAAACTAAATATTATTATACCCAAAAACTAATAAAATAAGATTTAAACAAAATTATTA